CCCCACCACCACGCACACTCACACAACGTCAAGTGAAAGTGTGAAGTAAAATGAAATGCCCGAAATTTTCATGAATGCGCTCTTCTTTCTAGAACAGCCACCCCCACTATTATTTTACTCTCACATGTCATATTATTATTTTGATCACTGTGCGACGCTGCAAGCGTTGCTTAGTACTACGTACTACTTACTCTCTGCTTAGAAAAGAAAATCCAGAGAGAGTGGGAGTATTGGCGCAACTGCTACTGTTAGTGTTACAGATTGTTGCTATTGCAAACGGAAACTAGGCCAATAGAGTAAGAGCCCAGGCACGACCAGTAATCCCCTGCCTGGGAGCGGGGGACGAGGTGCCCGTTTCGTGTATGTTGCTGTTACCCAGCGCCAGAACTGGCATTCGGCAAAATAATCGTTTCGAGCCAAAGCACAAACACAACAGTAGATCTCGGCCTGCTACCTCCTGCTCCAAAAGAAAAGGTACAGTACCGTACTAGTACTATATAATGAAGTTTTCATCGAAACCCACTGTATTGGTTGGGCTCTTCCTCGTTGCCCATAAAAAAACGTGAGTCCGATTTCTGCTTTCGGAAGTCTATATATGTATTTTATATAGTACTTCGGTCTCCGTGGTGTATGTTAACAGATGCAAGCAAAGATTTCCGTTTTAATTAAACGTCCTATCTGAGTGTTTCATTGAGGATCCACCCCTGGAAAGTAGAAAGTGAAAGTCACCGGTTCTGAGGATAGACGCACACACAAAATCAAAAAGAGGAGCCGATCACCATCGTAGGAAATGCACTTAAAGACGTTGAATCCTTCTGCTATCTTGGGAGTATTGTGAACAGAGAGGTAGGAACAAGAGCTGAATTTAGGTCTAACGTCGGAAAGACACAGGCAGCCTTCATATCTTTGAATAGGAGGATTTGGAGGACCAGGGATCTCATTCCGGACAAAGCTGAGGATTTTCCATTCGAATGAAACGTCAATCTTGTTGAAAGTGGTTGTATGGATATAAGACATGAAACCCATCTCAGAATGACCACAAAAAAAGAGAATCCAGGTTTTCTTGAACAAGTATATCTGAGAAAGTTAAACAGGATCAGATGGATAGACAGGGTCGCCAAGGAGGAAGTGTGTCAAGGACAACAAGACCGATCCAGGTTGGAGATCAGGTAGAAAGAAGGAGGTGGTGATGTGTTGAAATTACTCTCAAGAAGCCAGGAAGCTGCAGAACAAAGAAAGTGTTGGATTGGAATCCTCAGGGTAAAAGATCAAGAGGAAGACGACAATGCACCTGGAGAGGAGTCACAGAAAACGTTGTCCACAAAAAATGGGAAGACATGGAAGAATATCAAGAGATAAGTTTGGGAAAGGGAGGAGTTAAGAAAGTGTTAATTCGTAGCCTATACATGTACCCCGATCCGGGATGAGAAAGGCGTTGACGATGATGATGATGATGATGATGATGATGATGATGATGATGATGATGATGATGATGATGATGAAGATGATGATGATGATGAGGAGGAGGAGGAGGAGGAGGAAGAAGAAGACGAGGATGGCATACTGCACCATTTCAGCCCCTGACATGATGTAGAGTCGAAACAGCCCGTCCCCTCTATGATTTAAATTGTGCAAGGGGGGGGGGGGGGTTGCAAGTTTATCTGAAACGGGCATTAACTTTTACGTCATCATTATATGGTCAAAAAATCACATTTGTCTGAGTTTGGCTTTTGGCGGCTTTGACATTTAGAAAAACCTGGCAAAGGGCCACATACTGAACATCGCTTTATCTCTGCAAAATGTCACTGGGATTCTAGAATGATTCTTTGGAGATTCAAACTAGGGCGGCTGGCACCACCGTCCTGTCTTCCCATGTCACACAAGTGTCCAGATACAGGTATCGTACTGTATTGGTCTGTAGTGTCCTCAGCCTGTTTACCGGTACTCTTTTTGTATCGACAATTCCGAGGGGAAAAAAAGTAAAAACAAAGAACACAAGCTCAGATCCTGGCTCTCTTGAGCTTTTTATGATGCTTTTTTACTGACATCGATATCGCCACTCACAATGTTGCAAATACTTTAAATGGGAATTAGAGTCTGGATCTCTCTCTGTCTCTCTGTCTCTCTGTCTCTCCCCCTCTCTCTCTCTCTCTCTCTCTCAAATTCAAATTGGCGTCGGTGGCCTGGTGGTTTGGGGTTTCGAGCGTGAGCTTGGTCCAAAGTTGTGTCCTTGGGAAAGACACTTTGCACGAATTTCTCTTTTGGTTCGGTCCTTTCGGAGATTGGGAAACTATCAGAGCCGCGCACTTTCGAGAAAAAACTATCAAAGCCGCGCACTATCAGAGCCGCTCGCTTTTTGACGAAATCGTTACAATTAGATTGCCGATTCCATCCAACGGTTGTTACAGTCCCCTTGACAAAATTACTCTGTACAGCCTCCACCCAAATATATTATTATTCAACTTTCGTAAGACATTAAGCGACTTCCAGACCATTTCTAAGCTGAGATTAAAAACACAAACCGAGCACAAAGGCACTTCCGCAAGAAAGAAGGGAGAATGCGTTACAAGCAAATATACGCAGACGGACAAGTCTCACATCCAATTTTTATCATGAATGAGCAAGAAAATGCTGTTCCAACACTTTAAAGATCGCCCCTGTCCTGTGGATATATGATTTTATACCTTAAATGCTTTCATTCCACACAAAAAATCCACTTCTTTTACTTTTAGCAGAGGTTTTACGGCAAAATCTACTTGATATGTTGTCCCAAGTCTAGTAAAATGCTGAGGGTACTTAAATTGTTGGAAGGCAGGCCTACTGTTTTAGTAATCGGCAATCTAATAGTATCGATATAGTCAAAAATGCGCAGCTCCGATAGTGCGCGGCTTCGATGTTATCCCCGGAGGCGGACGTTAAACTCGGAGATCTCGCTTCTTAAATAACCGTAGAGTGTTGATAGGGGCGTTAAACCACTACCATTTCACCATTTTTACCCCCCCCCTCTCTCTCTCTCTCTCTCTCTGTCTCTCTCTCAATCGCTCGTTTGCTCGCTATCTCTCTGCTTATTTATATCCCCATGTTGATGTATGCGTGTGTGTATGTGTGTTGTGTGTGTGTGCGTGTGTGTGTGCGTGTGTGTGCGTGTATATATATATGTGTGTGTGTGTGTGTGTGTGTGTGTGTGTGT